TTTTTCATCCGCGGAGTCAACATTCAAATAGTACTTTTTTACCCCAACCCATTTATGCTCAAAATGAGATTCTGATCGCAGAAAGTGTGGCTTTGAACGGAGTTTCTATCAGTCACTGATGAGGGGCAGTAGGAATTCATAAAATCATACTCGTCTGGTTTTTCAGAGCAAACAAAAGACCTTACTCACCTTGCCAGGTTCATTATAACTGTGTATCACAAGGGCGAGGGCCAGCTGTGGATTTTGACCAATTGTTTTTACTGATGTTGCAAATACTGCTTTCCCATGAGCGCCAGTTCCTTTTATTACACTAAATGTAAATTATTTAGCATGAACAAATAAACTATAAAAGTTTCTAGCAGTTGCAAACTACTGCTACTCAACAATAATCTGGAAACAACACCTCAGTTGCAGTCTTATTTATTTCACATCTTGTTTCAAATATGCCTTATCTTAAAAAAAAAGTTCTACCAGTGCATGCAAACTACTCATAAAGAGATCATAATGAGGAAGAAGCATCAGTTAACATGATAAAAACTGGATGCTTTAGAAATGTTTGTTACAGTTTTGCATACAACCAAAATAGAACGATTTTTTTTTTTTAAGAAACAGTGCGTCAAAGGAGGTAAAAAATGAAATTACCTGGCTCCACTCAATTCACTAGTACCAAGACCTTCAAAATCCTCTTCATCAGATGAAAAGAAATACACCTCATCATCGTTTGCGTCATCCATTTACTGGAAAACAAAATTTCACATCAACTATACCATTTCTTGCAGAAGCAAAATACGATTTGTGTGTGTAACAGCATACAAAATTTTCCCCTTGATGTGTAAACGTTTAAAGCAAGAAAAAATATATTTGCTTTTCCAGTTATCTTCAGCAATGCAAACTGTATATAAATGTCAAAAAAGTGGAGAAGAAAAATTAAAGTTGAAATAAAAAAAGACAACCGTTAGTTGAACCTTAAAAGAATAGCAGAAAAAAACTATTGGTTTAACGTGCTGTGCCGACTTCAGTGTTAATGAATCCACTGCAAACACAATTAAACTGCAAAAATTCAGTCTAGAATTACCAGGAGCTATCTACGGCTTTATTCACAAGGAATTACGAACTCTTAGACAAACAGATCCGATCATATATTTTGCAAACGGGGAGATTACTATGGAAAAGCACTCAAGCATTTAACGGACAACTTTATCCTTTTTCTTTTACAGTTAGCTTGAAATTTTCTTTACACCTTGTTCCATGGCAGGATAAGTAATCGCCTCCGACCTAGTACTTAGAAATACAACGAGTTTCTTCTAGTGAACTTCTACTGTGTTTTATAAAATCAGAAAGAATGTTGTCAGATTAAATTTGCCTACCACCTTGATACCGCTTAGATAGGTGGATTCAGACAAATAAGCAGATGCTTTTCAAACTGGTCACAATTATTTTTTTGTAAACTTAAGACTTAAACGCGTCAGTAAGCGCTACCCCAACAAGAAACTCAGTCTCAACTGGCCAATCCGCATAACTACGATGCTTCTCCCCGAAAGCGATGCGTACTGCGAAACAGAAGCATTCTATGCCGGCGTGGTTCTCAACGGTCGTCGACGCTGCGCGTTTCCACAACATTTTCGTAAAGGGTTTTTACCTGGATGGGTTCGGCAACGCTGGATATTGGCAGCGGAACCAGAGTTAGCTCTGAGAAGTGGCTTACTGCAAACTTACTGCTGTGGCTGCAATTTACAGCCTCGCTCTCGCTCCTAACACAACGCCTTCTGAAGCGGTCCCTTCAGTAGTTTTAGACTGTTCTCTTTATTTATATTTTAAACTTTTTTTTTTGAACTCAGGGGGAAATATTTGGTAAAGGGTGGCACACACTATTTTACAGTGCGACATTTCCACTGCTTGAGTTTGTTGGGAAGTACTACAGCATTCGCATCGACGACTGTCTGATAAAACTTCGTCTCATGATTTACAGTAGCAGTATTAGTAGTAGTAGTAGTGAATAGGGAGGTTAGATGGAATGCTCTGTCCGCAGTCAGGACGGAAAGTGCAGAATCTGGACAGTTTTGATTGGTCTAGTAATACTCAGATTATGGAGAGGTCTACTTTAACAAGAGTTTCTGGTTCGTATCCACTACCTTCTTAAAAAAGAGTAAAAATTGTGGTCTAATAACAGCAATGAAATGTGGTTCCATTATTCATTTCTAGCTTTGGCAAAATTCTAATGAAAAGAAATTGACACTTTCAACTGATTTGGCGGTGAGTTTTTCCGACCCGAACTTCTGCCTGAAAAAGTGAGCTTGTGGGGTTCTTTAGCTTCAATGTAAAGAAAAAAATGCAATCCTGTTACTATGTTACTGCTTCAATCCTGTTACTATGTTACCGTTGTTTTAATGAAGAAGGAACAATCTCGCGTATGACTAGTTTATTTTATTCGTACAAGGACTCTTCTATTCAACAGCATTAATTTTTTAAAACAAAAGATAAGTAATGGAATTCCTTCTGTGCAAGCAGTGGAAATGAAGCTTGGACCTGTTGAGTCTCTCTTGGCAATTAGTTTTAAGGAGACTTGAGCATATTTTTTTACTGGAAGTTAATTTTCGAAAGGGTCTACAGAACGTGTTAAGGCATTTCCTTAATAACTGTTATAATCTTATTTGCTGTGTGAGGATAACTTTATAGGATGAATCAAAAATTACGTGTTCACCTCTTGCTGGCTTTCTTTGCTCCGTAGCTGTCAAATGTCCTTACTTCAATTCTTTGCAGTGAGAAGGATTTGGTGCTGTGGGATTTCGTTGCAGAGAACTGACTGTTTTTCCCTTGAACAAATTTCATTTGCAAGAGTGGCAAGTTATTCTCTATTTCAATCTTTTTATTAAAGATACACTGCTGATGAGTAGAAATCGTCGTTACTTCTTGCGAAGTACAAGTAAAAAACCCGGTTTACTAAAGGATGATGTACTTGTGTAATCACATTCTTTTACAGAGCTTGTGAAGATCTTCCTTTATTTCTTTATCAGGATCTTTGAGCTTTCTGACTTGCTGAGTAGTCATAATTCTCTTAGAAGGCACCAACCCTTTTGTCTGCTTATTTGGTAGCCTGTGTAATTTTGTAAAATGTAGCAGGTGGTTCTTGCCGAACAATGCACCCCTTTGTGGCATTCCTTTCTTGATTGTTATTGTCGTTGTCAATTTTTATGTGCAAGTTCCACTTAGCTCAAAGTTATTAGTATAGCTTAATTGTTAAACTGGTGCGGTCATTTTAGCCGATTACGATATCACTATAACTACTCTTAGTAAGCAGCGCAGTTAAAGTCCAAGTAAAAGGGGTAGTGGCGTCCATGTTTTATTCCTTCCTACGCGTGCACTTTCTCGATTGACGATTAAGAAATCTTGAAAAATTCAGCGGAATATTCCAAACCGAAAATAATTCTGGAACGTTCTCTGTCACTTTTAGATTATTTAGTAAAGCACTGCGACAGGTACACGAGACACGGGACGGTGAAGGGAACAACACTTTTTAAATACCTTTTGACATAGATTATTATGAATGGTCATTGTTTCGCTAGCATTGTGGCAGACCTCAGCTATCCATTTTTCAACCAAGAATTTATGCAAAGAATTCTTCCCCATGAAACAAGGATCTTCTGCAGAAAATACTTTGGTCCGTACAATGAACCGGTTATTAGTGTTCTCACAAGTGGACACGATTGTAATAGGAACTGGTTATCCGTAGTCTTTCTAGTTGCTGCATTGTTTACTTAATATTTTAGCTTTTCAAGCAGTTTAAATTTGCTATAGTTCCCTGATTCTTTCTGCTTCTACCTAAGTGAGCATCGACGGTTTTTTTCTACAGTAGATGATCAAGACGATTACTGTGAAGATGAATTTTTTGGATTAGAAGATCGCTTGTGGGTGACTTTTATAAGATCACAGTAAGTGGCCAGAACGAGCCAGAATAAGTGAAATTTTCCGGTCATTGTTCAGCGAGATCACATTTTCAGCTGCGCCATTTTTCAAAAAAGGATTTCTCACAAGACAGTAATATTGTGGAATAAAGAGTCAAAAGATTACCAGATGAAATAAAATACCAACACATAACAGGTCAAATTGCAACAAAGTTTCTAACAGTATAATCGCGACTACGTTAGCGTACTAGAAGCGAAACACTAAGGTTTTTTGTACAAAGAATTCAAAATGGAACTTCACACTTTTCGATGGTTCTGTAGCGCGTTACTTGCACTACTCAGCGTTGCTGCATCTCCACTAAATTACTTGATGGATTAACAGCACTGTGAAACATGAGGAACAGAAAAGCTGATGGATGCAGTAGGAGAAAGTGCAGAATAAAAGGAAAAAAACCCGAATGATTCTTGAACTAAGTAAAGCAAGGGGCATACATTTAGCAAGGAAGTCGATGAAGAACATTTTAGATTGCTACAACTTGTCAAAGAGTTTCACACCACTGTCTTCCACATTCCTCTCTTCCTTTACGGTATTAATGCGGTCGTGTGAAAGAGTGTTGGTTAACCCGTTCCGTCGCAGCACAGCTCTTAGCATGAGTGCTAACGACCATGACCTAAAAGATGTCAGAAAGTAAGAAAGAATAATTGAAGAGGCAGTGGCACCATTGAAGGGATCATGCAAACTCAGATGAGTGATCCGAGCATTCTGGTTCTATAAATTAAGCAAGGGACAGATCTAGTTACAGGGTAGGGCGCACGCTAGATCAGACAAGAAAAAAGACATCGGACGAGTCAAGCTCAAAAACTTTTAAACGTTGGTGGGGTTAACTAGGGAAAAAAGACTTCGTTTCATCAAATTTTGCAATGAAAGTTTCTGGGGAAAGCAATTGCCGTAGTAGCTTGAAATTTCGTAGCTTCTTTTATTGCAGCAGACCGTTCTGCAGTTTGACGGCCATTGTTTCCAATACTTTATGTTCCTAGAGAGCTTTGAGATGACGGAAATGGATGCAAAATTAGGCTTACTTTGCTAAAATCACTGATGAATACTGGGTCTCCGTCC